CTGAGAGACAACATCGCCTGTATACAGTAATGTAATAATTGTATTATGGTTGGGGGGTTTAATTTACAGCGTGAAACGAACAAAGTCAAAAACCGATATCGTGCGAAATGCTAATAAAATTATTTCCTATACTTATATATTGTTTTCTCAAACCGTGTTGTACAATTTTACGAGTGACCGTAAAAACCTCTTGTCGTTGTTTTTATTATTGTTTGTTTTTTTTTTTTTTTTGCAAAAGCGAATAATTTCATCTGAAAGGGAAAACAAACGTCTATTACTCGTGTACGACTTTTATGCGGCACATTTTTTCTCCCTTGTTGTTTTATACATTTTTTTTCTATTTCCCGACACTGCTCCATTCGAAAGTTTTATAGTCCATTAACCATCCGCCCATTCGGGTTCAGATTCAAAAGTGTAACGAAACAACAACGCAGACAAACAAGTCGGATGCCATTAAAGTCATCCGTAATATGTATCGGAGATATTATAGCTTTCTTGTTCGAACACCACGATTTATATGTGATTTGTATTTCACACAAGATTGACAAAACCACACAGGATAATCACACCACACACACTGTTCTGGTGTCGTTAATGGCACCGAACTTACACTATATCGATACACCAACCAATACTTACAATAATAGTAACAATCGTGGCAATCGATATCGTGGATACGATAAGTGTTGATCGTCTGTCTATAAAAATGTACTGTCATAGTTACCCATATATAGTAATTAACAATATTATAATGAAAATATTTTCATGACTTGTTGACTGTTGATTCACTCACACATAGCAACCTAGAAACTGACTACGGCCAAAAAAGTAAATTTACCCTATTTCCTTAATAAAAAAAAATTTGCCTATAGATTTTTGAGAAAATTGTATATTTTATAGTTCCATTTTAGATCTACCTTCGGTCTAATTTTCAGATCTAAATCTCTAAAACTTTGCTTGAAAAAGTAAAATAAAGAAAAACATTCTATCCCTTTTAGGAGAAAGGGTTTATGATATTTTTTTTGGTTTGTTAATGTTATCGATGTTTGTTTGAAGAATTCATATAAACTTGGGACTTTTTCGAAAATTTGTAAATTTTTGCCGATTCTTACTACATTTGTTTAAAATTATGTAAAATGTTAATTTCTCAACTATAAATTAGGTATACATAAATTTTTTTAATTTTTTAAAAACTTTTTTTGGGGCCAAAAAGTTAAAAAACCAATATTTTGTTTATATAAAATTTAAGTTATGTTCTTATGACCCATATCATCTTTGAACCAATTAATTTTTTTTTGCTACTAATTTACGACTTCAAACATGTGTATTTCGCTGAAAACTACCTACTATAATGATCCACAACACAAATGTGACTGAACAAAAATTTTCCAAATGTATACAATACTTACTTATAAGTCAGTAGAACATTTGGTAAATGTTTGATAATGGAGAAATTATTCTAACATCAGTGGTAGGCGTTCAAATTTTACGATTTACACTTATTGGAAATATACACAATTTACAATTACATTTTGAACCCTTACTACTGATGTTAGCATCATTTCTCCTTCATCAAACTTTTACCAGATGTTCTATTCACTTATAAGTAAATAATGCATACATTTGGAAAATTTTCGTTCAGTCACATTTGTGTTTTGGATCATTAAAGTAGGCAGTTTTCAGCTTACCACTTATGTTTGAAACCGTAAATAAATAGCAAAAAAAAAAACTTAAATGGTTCAAAGATGATATGGGTCATATGAATATAGCTTGAATTTTATAAAAGCAAAATATTTTTTTTTAACTTTTAACTTTTTGACCACAAAAAAAGGTTTTAAAATTTTTAAAAAATTGAAGCCTTAACTGGTGTAAAAATAATTTCTCCATCACCAAGCTTTTACCATAATATGTTCTACTCATATGTTGTACTCTCTGATACGAAGGAAAAGGTTATACATCGGTTTTATTTTTAAAATACTGTACGAGCAAGTTTATTGTCCAGAATTGCTTTCAAGCTTAAGCTTTCTGGTTCCTAATCGGGAAGTGCTCGACATTTGAGTTGCAAGATTTCACCCGGAACGACAAACAAGAAAGTGAGTTAATAAAAACGTGGTAAAAAATGTTTTTGCATTTCAATTGCCATACTTATTTTTGTATAAATCAACAAAGTAAAAACAATTTCATATAATAGTAAACATAAAACTGATTAGGAAATTGTTTAGTAGGTTAACGTTATTTTTTATTCAAATGAAATCGTTATTCGTTTTGGATTTCGATGTGGCCCGGTGGACGTAGGCATAGGTATAACGATATAAATGTAATAGGAAAAAAAAAAGGAAATGAATTGAGTAAACAGAAGGTCTACGGGGGATAAGACAAATAATTCTTCCTCGACCCTGATCCTATTACGATGATATTATTTGACCGACATAAATATTTATTCCCTAAACCTAACTTTCTCTATTACGAGTATATTTATGTATGATTTCCACTCACCTTTGAATAATTCAGAAGAACGCAGCGTTGTCTCGAGACTACATGACGATCGCTCACTTCATACGAACGAATTGTTTAATTTTGTTCTTATGAATTTCCGGGCAATGGTTATGTCACGTTGTAGGGCATATGCTACCGTTTAGCGGTTAAATATTATTAAAGAAAATCATTGGCAAGAGTGCAAAAGAAAAATATTAAGAAATAAATTGACAGGGTTTCAAAAAACAGCTCTGGTTACCAGAATCTAATAAAAAAAAAAAAATGTTGATAAGTTTGACAGCAATATTTTTAACCATACATTTTGGTTTTTATAAAGGAATTTGGTCGTATCGTTAAAACGAAATAAATTGTCTACACACACTGTCACACATATGTGTTGTTAAAAAATACAAATTATATTATAAAAACAATATTAACTAATTAGTAGTGTTCATTTACTAGAGGAAAAAAAATTGCTGGTATTTTTTTCCATCTAAGAGTGGTGTGATCAGTTACTGTAGTTATTGTTCGCATTAACGAAAAGCATATTATAATAGTTTTGTGTTGTACTCACAAGAGACGCGGGTAGTCTGTCTAAACGCGACCCTCTTCAAGGTTGTGATAGTTTCTTTTTTTCCGATAACGTGTCACCTAACCTAACGTGAAGGGTAAAGTATAATACAAAACGTACAATATCGATAGCAGCTACCTACACAGTTTTGACACATTTTCCGCCGAAAAGTTTTGACCGACGCAAAGTTATCTGAAAAGGCTGGTTTTTAATTGAAAATTTTGCGTTTTGACATTCATTAAAGCATTTATTTCAACCGTACTCCGTCCGTTGGGCGTTATAATAATATTATGAACTGTTGTTAAAAAAAACAAATGTGAAAACAATTTCCAATAACGTCGAGCGTGCCGCCACTCGAATTTCACATTTGTTTCCGGTTTAGACATAAATGTTCAATCATCTCCTCTTCCTCGTCACTTTATAGGTCGAAATCCAAAAAAAGAAAAAAAAAAGGCCGTCAAAGAACCGTTTTGTTTTTTATTTACCCAATAAACCCACAATACCGCAATTCAAAGGGAGTGAAACCAGCGGTGTGGGAGTTTCCATGGAAACCTTATGATCACCTTGGTTGTTTTGGGAATGAAAAAATTCAATTTTATCGATAAGGATGACTACCACCTTTTTCTAATTAAATTTACTCTATAACCACGTTTTTACCTACTGATAACGATTTGCTTCCCAGACAAAGTTAACGTTTGTCAAAAAAAATATTCTCAAACCTCCCTACCACCCTAAAAATCAAAACTTGGCAGGAGAGTGAGGTTCCAATGTTGGGGCACATTTAAAATGTGATCCTAATAGTTTTATTGAATGGTATTGCTATGTAAATGAATGTTTAGCAGACATTGCTATACCACACTATTCCAATGTCACTCTTGACAATATCTCGGTCAACTAGTGGGGGGACAAGCCACAGGGGTGTGAGGAAACGACTATATTAATTGATTTACACTTTGTTGACCAAAATACATTCTAAATGGACAATTTTCGAAAATAATGATAATGACTTGTGATGTACCACTTTCTCGGTGAAACGGTCAGAATATCATACATATCAGATTTTCTTAAAACAACTATTTCCAGCAAATTTGTATTTACTTTGTGTATTAGGTACAAGGAGTGCCGCGCATACCTCTGCCCGGATGGATGCAAATACTTACTTTAGGCCACGTTTGATGAACTCTTCGATTTAAAATATACGCACCGATAGGGGCCTTACTGGTGGTACACGGATACGGTTTTGTTTAACCCGGATCCAACGTTATATAGAAATATACATACATAACGTTTCGTTGTACGCCGTTCGAACGGATCGGAAATACTTTCGGGTATCCGCAAATGCCGGGCCTTTTGTAAGTTTATCTTTTGACTGTGTACCGCAGCCTGCTGTAATATGCAATTCAATTGGGTGTGCAGACCCCTTTAAACCGTGCACGGGACGGTTCCTAATAAACAATATTATATCGTATACTGGGTTGTATATGTTTTTCGGTATTATACGAGTGCCGTACTATTTGAATTGTCCGAATAGACCGGTCGCAAAGACTTACTATGTAAAGCGATCCCGTCCAGAGATAGTCATCGGTTTATTGCTTCAATTAAACAAAATCGAGTCATGTTCGGGAAGTCGTCTAAGCGGGCAAACAATGCGTACATGCTTTCGGTTTAGATAACAGGGTTTTGGGTTTGTATTCACGTTATTGGGACACAAAAGCTATTCCCGGGGGCATTGCGACCGCGCACGGGTCACAGTTATAGAGTCTCTCAAAGCTCGGAGGCTAAATAATAATAATAATATCTTCTTTGGAATCCCGGGATCGAGGCAATTAACATGAGTTTACAAACTGCAAGAAAATAACATCACCCTTGCCCGTCTTCACACCGAGGAGGTAAGTCAGTACGGCGGTGGTGTGTAAAAAAAAAAACGTTTACATACGTTTGTAATTGCACTTTATTTGTCGACAATAATATATATATATGTATAAATTGATCGTTGACGGCGATTACAATAGTTGTAGAGTTTAAAAGTTATAAAATACATTAAGTATACGGTTTTTGATTATGCGGTCGACGCGGAATTGTGCACAATTCCACGGTCAAACGAACGCGCACGAGACAGTCTTTCAAAGTAAAATAAAATAAAATGTTAAAAGGCCCTGACGACAATACTAATGTGTAACATAATATAAGTATTATAAGTATTCAGTATTGTACTATAGAGTATATTAACAAATAGATTTCAGTACCCTACAAATCGACACCGCCGACTAGGAGTGTCGTAGGCATGTCATTTTCCCCGATTTTTTCTCAACGTTATTCCAATAAAAAAAAATCGAGCTACGACCTTTTTTTTAATCGAGGGGGTGTCGACGTGTAGGAATGATAAAAAAAAAAAAAAAACATTTAATCCGAGGCCCTAAGTGTGATGAGTGTAAGCTCAGGCTCTCACTTTCAGATCGTTGTCTTCGTCGTCGTCGTCGTCGTCTTCGCTCGCTTCGACCGTGGCTAGTTTTTCGAAACCGGCTCTTTGCTTGTAATTGAACATGTTGCCCAGCGTGAACCCCTCGGCAGCAACACCGGTCGTCCTGGGTTGCCACCGACCAAGTGCCGCGTCCCTCCGGTGAACTGTAAAACAAAGTAAAAAAAAACCCTCGTTATTTTCTCAGCTCCACGGAAAAACATTCAATCGTGGATATGTTATCTCTTATCTCTAACTGCAAGTGAAAGTGTAACGCGAAAATGGCGACATTGAATTTCTTATTATTCAGCCAGATAACATGGATTAAAAGCATGTAAAACGAGCACGGATCTAAAGGGGGAGCGTGCTAGGATGGTAAAACACACCCCTTGGGATGTTGCCATCTGGTAAAAGACAAAAGCTGCAGCACGCGTGTCCAAGAACGTCCCAGACAATTATTTTATCTGAATAATATTTTTCAGTAGGCTGGGCGCGTTTCTAAACAATTGTGATACATTTTTTTCCTACTAGTCATTCAACGACTGTCATTTCACCCTCAATAATTTACTGATAACTAAACGTGACTGTTAAAAAACTGATAATACATTAGAACTCCCGACGTAACGGTATGCAACACAAGTTACTACCTTGCACGGGCTTTAGACAAGAATATTGTGTCACACTGTTTATAAGTTTATTGAAATAGTGTTATCTCGAATTATGTTAGTTGTCAAATTTCACTCAATAATTTTTAATTAATTTGAATTATGACTTCTTTTTTTTTATAACAGAAAGTTTTAATTTATTGTTTTAGTTATTTTTTAATGACAGAAAGTAATTCATTTTAATTTGTCACCCAAGTTATTTTTTTTCATTATTGAAAACCATTTTTTTTTTTTATAAAGGAAAATTTTTTAGCGGTGTGCTATTAAATATGCCACTCATCACTCATGGTAATCGTTTTGAAATGTAAGCGCTTTATATTTTGAGGACTAAAAAAGGTCATGTCACCAGGCCTGATAGAGACTACAAGACCTAAATTTTAGCATCCCCCTTAAAAAAATTCTAGATCCGCCACCGAAACACATAATTTAAACAAAAAGCTGTTAACGAATATACAGGGTTTTGAATAACCAAAACGGTGAGATAGTTGCCCCTTTACCCTGTACAACAGCGTCATGCAGAACAACAACAAATCCTTATCCGACGGTTTAATTAATTTAATTAAAATATAAAAAAAACACAAAATTCCACCTCAAAGAGACCAGAAATGATTTTCGTTTTTTACTGCAAAAGCTCAGACGCGGCCATGTGGTCGTAATGTTCATAGTGTTTTTACTCATTAAACATTATGTCTCCAAAAGCAACAAAAAAAACAATATTTTTTGTTTTAAGCCGAAATAAGAACACAGACCTATTTTAATAATACTAACCGCGAGTGCTGGACCAAAAGCTCGGATTAGACTTTTTTCTTTTGGTATATATAAATGAGAAAGAGAATATTTTTTCAACGTTTTTACCGGTGTAAAGACTATGTTTTTTTCCCCCTAGATACCATCGGTAGAGAGATGGGTTCCCGCTAACAAATCCTTTCGGAAATTGTTTCAACGTTATGTTTTCACTAATGCTTTCGATATAGCTCCAAATAGTGCGGTCGTCGCCAAATGGGACCCGAAATACTTCAACAAGGTCATACCGCGTTATTAGCACAGTATTTGATCGGGAAAAATAGTAGTTTTAGCGGATGAGCTTACAGGATTAACACTACAGGGGTTAAAGTAGATCAATAGTTAAGTTATGAGACAGTTTTAGGAGCCTGTATTGTGGTAAGTATATACGAACAAGAGCTGATAGTTTAGGAGTGGCGTCAATAGCGAGTAATTTGAAATATAATAAATTAAGCGGTTTAAACATGTTATAATAAGGGATGAGAGAGTTAAGCGCCAATAGATTTAGACCGAAGATATGTGAAGTGAATAAAGAAAAGATGATGGTTTGGCTAACCGAACCAATTTGTATGGGATAAGATGGCAAATGAGAAAAAGTATAGGTACGTGAGGTGGTGAAAACCAAAATAACACAAGTTATTTTTACAAGACTTTTAACGAGAGCAAAATCAAAATTGTATTGTTTAAATAAAAATTGTAAAACCAGAGCATTTGAACAGTTGCATTGGCCACAGAATGTATGCATTGACAAAAAAAACGTATGATCAAAACCAATTTTTTGAAAAAAAATTTGTCACTGCAAGTTAGTTTTTTTAGCCCCTCAAATGAAAGATGACATTATTGATATAATATGTGATATATTTTTTTTATTATCAAATTATTTCCGTGTTCTTGTTTTTCCCTTTAAATTTTTTTTTTATTTGAACACGTTTTTAACTTTTAATTGTATGGCGGCTGAATACGTTTATGAGCTACAACATTTAGATTCTTTAAAAGTTTTAACTTGAAACGTTCGCGGTTCGCCCGGCTAATGAATGTCTTAAGTTTGAAAAAGCTATAAAAACGGATGAACAACTGTAAGGTATTTAAAAACAAATTACCATTGTACATTTCGGCCGTTATTTAAAGTTACTCGTTAAAACGCCACCAGTGTAAAATGGGGCCATACAATATAAAATAATGTATTTAGCTGATATCGTGGCGGTATAGTTGGTTGTTTGTTGGTGTTAAACAGGAAATCAAGGGTATAGACGGCAAAACAAATATATATATTTTATTTTATTACACAATGTTTGTTCAAGGAAACACTTGAAACGAAAACGTTTTTTTGATAACGGACTAATGGTCCAATTAATTTTTTATCGTTCGCGTCAAGCTATGCAGGGTGACTTTCCGCCGTAGTAAAAAACAATAAAACATTGCCATTAATTCAATTTAACGGGGAACCAGCTCCGGAGGTAATGTTCAATTTCCATACAATAACCGTGAACGCTGATTTGCGGTAATTATATTTTTACAACGTGTAAAACTCGGTGTAGACTAGGTGTAAAAAAAAAAAAAAAACTTCACTAAAAAATCCCATACAATAAAGAGTCAAGAGCCTGGATGATGGAGAGAGCTCGAAAAACGTACAGAGAGGTCATCATAAAACATTTGGAAATAAAATAATAATTGGAAAAATGCATATTTGTAGTCCAGTGAACCAAATCGAGTATCGTCGACAATACAATACGAGATAAAACAACTAGAAAAATCTGATTAATTGTATGTTTAATATCCAACGTAAAAATATAAGACCAACAAGTCTAGTCGTACATTTTTGAGAGAAAAAAAGAGTAAGGCGTTTTCTTGACGTCTTTGTGTATCGGTGTTTCTTATCGATACGAATAATAATTGCAGAATTAATTTCAAATATTACATTATCATTATTGCTATGCGCATCAAAAACGAGTTCGGGTATAAGACGACAGTAATTAAATTTGTAGAACTCGAAAAAAAGAATAATAAAAAATTAAGTCAATATATAAACATGATTGTGTACCGTATTTTTTAGGAAAACGAATGGTAATTGTTGTACCATTGCTTTGTGTACACTTTGTCTCTGTCAATAACAATAACGATAATTTGTTATGTTTGAACGTTCAGTTTGTTCTCTATCAAGAACGAATCTCATTAATTTCGTACTGTGTTTACACCGGCCAAGTTTTAATGTTTAACGTCTCGTAATCGGACCGTGCACCAAATTATTATTACTGCGGACCGTCAAAATGATACAGAAATTGCACTTCATGATTTACGATATTGGAAAGTAAGTTCAAACAGTAAGCACTCTACTAAATTGGCCGCCCACCGCACAATTGCCAATTTATAAACGCATTACTCAAAGGTAAAGCGCAACCGAAAAACATAACTGAAATTCGCCAAACAAACCTCTAATTGTTTACAAAGCGTCGATGGCGAAACACAAATGTTATTATATTATTATTGTAGTAAACGCATAATACACTCTATTTTTTCATTTAAAAACCCTGTTGAATTTCTTAGCAATACATATTATATTAAACATGTTAAAGTCGTCTAAAACATATTTTTTTTTTTTTAAAAGTTTTGCTCTGATGTACTTTAATTATTTATTATAGTACAAAAGTAAGTTAAAAAAATATATATATTTTGGCCTATCCGAGGTTAATTTACTATTTAAATTTATCTATTTATAAATATATACTTACTGTAGACTAAAAAAAAACTAACACAGGAAATATACTTCTTCGACATTTTAAAGTAATCTTTAAATTACAACATAAATTAATAAAATATTAAAAAATTTATTTCAAGGACCAAAAAAATGTTTGATTTATTATTGGTTTAAAAAAAAAAACTATTTACTAACTTGAAAAAACAATTTTTTTATTTTTAAAATGGACTAAGTAGTGATATTTAAATACCTTTCTCATATACATGCAAGTTTTTATTCATTATTATCTCAAAAAAAAGATATCAACTGCACACTTGATATTTAACTAAATAAGACAAAATAGCTTTGAGTCACCTTTAAATATTATTCGATTAAGTTAAAATGTTGACATTTTCTTTCTTTAAACATAAATTGAAGATTTTTCAGGTAAACTAATTTTTTTTTTCAAGAGTTTTTCCATTTATTTTTTTTTTTTGCTAGTATTGAAATACGCTAGCGATAATAATATTCTACCTTCTTTTTTTGCCATAAAACCTAAAATATATATTATATTTTTAAGGAATTATTTCACTGAATCCCAGCGTATCGACTGGCGAAACGATTTATAATTTATTTTGTGTATTAAATAAAATCTAAAAATTCTAAATTAATTCTGACATCCGTTCTGAATTCAGCAAATAATATACTAAAAACAAATTTTAAACAATTAATCAAATTCACAAGACACAAAAAAATACCACAAAACGGATTTTTTTTACAGCCATTTAGATTTTTAAGAACTTTTTTTTTTAATAAATTTATTTTTGTTCAGATATTGTGTATTGCAGTGTATATTATATTATTCTGTACACAATATTATGACGATTCCTCAATCCTCAATGACATCATCAGTGTTCCATCGGTTTAGCCAAACGTAATTCCTACTAACTATTCGACAAGTTTCGGAGAGGGCTTTTCAAATGTATTGTCCGACCAAAGTGTAAAGTCGCTACGTGGTGACGGTGAAACGTATTACCTATCTAGTAGTGTAGATTAATCGGCATAGTTGTAAACTGTGGACACGCGGCTTTATTAATTACTCGGCCGTACAGTTGACCAAATAATATACTTACTTAGGAGACTTTTGCCGCGGTTGCGTACCTCGAACACAAGTTTCTAGGTAATGGAATAGTTTGAATGTTTCAAGCAAAAATGCGAAAATGAAGTTTTCAATTGGAATTATTCGCAGCCCGGAGCCAGTCCGTTCGGAAAATACCCAAATATCGACAACGTTAATTGGAAATTAAAAATATTATAAAAAGAAACCACTACAGTGGGCGACGGGTCATATTGGGTTAGGGGAGGTCATAGGTCAACCGGAATTGTTATTTAACAGTAAGTGATAAAATCACTTTCACACAAAAGCTTCAATGGTAGAAATATAAATATCGATAAAAGCATATTGCGATGGCAATAATGTGCTTAAAATTGTATATTTAGTTTTAGGATGCATTTTTTTTATGACTTTTCGGATATTTGGCGACTGTTGATTCACTTACGTGTTTTCGTCATACAACAAAAAACAAGCAACCAGCATCAACCCTAATTTTATTCAATTTTAGTCCCATTCTAGATTGATCTTTGGTAAAATTTTCAGACATTAAGCCCAAAAACTACACAAAAAAAGCGAAATAAATGGAATGTTTTCATCCCATTTGGAGGAAAAGGGTTTTTTTTTTATATCTGTTTTGGTTATAATCCGGCTGAAACTCCACCAAGTCAAAATTCTATAGAAAACCCATATCGTTCATATTGTAGTAAATTAACATCAGTCTTATTCACTAACAAGAGTACCTACTGCTAAAATCTGCCCTAATGTACATACCTCTGCACTTGTGGTTTTATGTGCCACTGATCTTATTTTAATGTGGTTTCCAAAGCCTGCGCCATGTTTGATGAACTACAAACACATTATTTCACGTACATAATAATAATATGAACGTAAGCTAAGCCCTTAAAGGACTTTGCGATGTGATTTTCAGGTAATACTCAGACAAACGCGGCGATGCATTAGTTGATTAAACGTACTTAAGTAGTATTAAAACATATTTTGTTTTTAAATACAAATTACGTGTACCTACGCGCAGCAGGTAATCTTTTAAAAAAAGCACACTTCGATGCGAATCGGATTACAGATATTACACTAAATGTCGGTAAAAAAACTTATATATATATATTATATAAATGTATTTATAAAAGGTCTTTGAACCCGAATTAACCTAATAACCTTATATCGTTACAACAACCCCACCCCATCAAAAAAAAAAAATTATCTATCGACCATAGACTCAATAAATGAAAACGGACGATATAGGGGAAAAACCAAAATATTAAACAATAAATGTTTAAATTTTGAAATTGTTTTTAAGGAATTTATTGGACAAATTTTTATTTTTTAAAAATAATTAGTCGAAAATGACTTGGAGTTCGGAAGTTTGAATATTTCCACTTTTGTACCAAACGCTTGAATAAATAGGTATAAAGGTTTAAGGTGAGGTACAAATTTCAATTATACCCTACAGAATCCAAATTCGAAATTATATTTTGCATGACTAAATGACTAAATTTAGAGTTATTCATTTTATTTTTTATTGTTTTTAATTTAAGTTTTTTGTAAATCTCGAACCAAACATTTTTTGTTATGTTAAAAAAACAAACATAGTACAAAACCAAACACAGTTAAATTAAACGTTTGGTTTTTTTTAGATTTTTTATTTTTCGTTTCTTCTCGTTTATAAGGGAGAAAAAGTAAACTTTTTTAAACATTCCTAGTAATAATATCTTTTATAAAAATTCTTATAATAAAAAAAAAATTAAATTCTTTGTAAGATAAGATTTTAAAATAAAGTAAAAAAACCTAATAGGTACGCTTTAAATACATGCTCATCAAAATATTGACCTTATGCTTCCAACCCTCCCCCCGTCCCCGCCAAAAACAACCGGACCGAGCTTGTGCATAATGATTGCATTTATATGTATTTATTTTATTTGTTGTAATATTATACCTACCTACTCATAATAATTAACATACAATGCATTTGCATAGCTGTTAATCTAATTAAAGAATAGAACTATTATAACAGTACTTTTGATAACATTATTTTCTAATGATCTAACTGTTCTAATTATTTAACATTCGATTAACTTTTAATGTGAGACTTAAAAAACAATAACCACCATAAGTTCAAAAAAAAAAAAAATTATAAATTTATTCAATACAGCGACAAAATTGCCGTCATTCACGTCAACAATAGCATTTCATCAAATGCCATTTTCGATTTCTTACATCTATTACATTTCTATGCAATAAAGTACTTAGGCTTTAAACACTATTAAGATTTAACGGTTTATCGTTAGGACTTACTCATCGACTTTGTTCTTGAATATATTAGAACGGTGGCGAATATTGCAGCGCTAAAAAACAAAACAACGGCAAACAACAGCATTATCACTATGACCTTCCGACTGGATTTATCACGGATGCCGGACAATTCTGAAAAAATAATTTAAATTGGATGTTTAACTTTTATATTTGTGCAAAATGTATAAAAAAAAAAATACACTAAACAACTAAATAAAATACAAAATATAGGTACAATTTTTTTAATGGAAAAACAACTTTATACATTTTATTTGGCTCGCATGGTTTAGTATAGGTTCAATTCCTGTAACTTACTTTCCAAATCGTAAATGTTAAACGAAGAGTCCGTTGCGTTATTTGGAGCTGTTGTGGTGATTCGATTCAAAAACAGTTTTTGAAAATATAAATCTAAAATATAACAGGTGCTATTAGTACTTTGAGTATTATTATTTTTTTTTTAACAAATTGAATGTCGAAATATACCCAAATCGAATTTCCAGACATGAGACGGTACCAGTTCAACAACATACACAGATTTTCCGTCCGGAGAAGCAGCCATATCGTGCGGTCGTGAAAATTGATTATCGGCAGGATGAAATCTGCCAATTAAATTCAATGATGTTGCATTTACAACAAACCCTTCGACTAAGGATTCGGATATGACATCGGAATTGCGATCATTGATTATATAAAACAGTCCACCTGTAAGGAAAAGTTAGCAAATTATTAAGGTTAATAAGTTAATAATAAGATAAATTTTGTTCATATCGTGAGACTAGATTTCAATTCTAAATCGAACCTAACCTGCTATCGGCGAGTAAGCGACACTAAACACACGTTGAAACATGGTCGATACTATTTCAAACTGGAAAGTCCCATTGTCTATGCTGAAACACAAAACTCTGCTGTTTTCGCGATCGGCTACGCAGATCAAACCTTTGTCCTCGGCCAACGTAAGAGCATGTGGTATCCACAGTTGGTACGGCGGTACAATGAGTTCACCTGAAACGATACAGCAAAATGTATTACAACAATGTTCCAAAAATTGTGGACTACTATAAAATAGTTAATAATTACTTAGGTCTAAAACAACTAATTCTTATTTTAAGTGACTTCTAAAATGCATAATATGACAACAGTTTTCAAAACATGGAGTGTTTTTAGAAATGTAAGTAGAAATATGTTTTTGTACAAAAATATGTTGTAGGTATGCATTATACAAACTCAAATATAAATTATGAAAAAACAAATACCTCTTTCTAATACACATATATGTTTACACATTTTAGCTTAATACTAAGTTTTACTGAAAAATTGCCTTTACCATGCACCTTAAAAAATACTAGTAGAGAATTAGAAAATTGCTTTATTTAGAGAAAACAACTAAATAAGTTCTTTATAAAATATGGCAAAAGCAAACAACGTACATTGGTAAAAAATTATCAAACAAACAAATCAACTTGATTTTAGTAACGTATACAAATTTTACAACTTATATTAAATAAACACAATGCAAAGGCTGTAAAGATTATCTAACTATATTAGCACAGACTTAACAAAATTAAAACTTTGAGATGTAAACCAAATCCAACATAATTTGTTACCAGTGACAAATCTCTTTAGTGATATATCTTTTTGACCTCGTATTTTATTCTGTATTTTTTACCGACATCCAGTACTCGCTGTTCATTTTCTTTTACCAGTCTGATTTAATTTATTCTGTGCCGTTAGATGCTTATAATATTCATGTAAAACTAACAGTATGTAATCAATAATTAAAATAACATAATATTTACAATTATAAAGAGTATTAAAAATTATTTTTCTCCATTTAAAGCAACTAGTTTGAGGCTGAATATTTATTTAAATGATTAAAACATTTGATTTATTATTTGTTTGCTCGTTAAATACTGTTTAATTTTAAATTCAATTTTGGTTGTACATTATCTATTATAGTGGAGAAAAATGCTAATTTATCGTGCTTAACTCCTCTTTATCATCAGTTGTAAACAATATTATTTAGTTTAGGCAATTATAAAAACATTTATTAAGTGAGACGTACATGTTAAACACGAAATCTGTATCCTAATTAAGTTACCGTTATTTATCAACCTGAGACTTTGGTAGATCTTCCCCATTCCAACAGAACTCTCCCGTCGGCTGAAAATTTTATTATACGCGAATTACAATAGCCGTCAGCTACATAGAATTCGCCATTAGTGGTCACAGCCACGGAAGTTGGCTTGCAGAAGTTGTTTAACTCGTTCCCAGGTTCAAAGCGTACTCCCAAAACCATTAATAAATTTTCCGAACAATTTTTTGTGATAGGCCCAAATTTGAATACTTGATGTAGAGCTACGTCGGTGAGCCACACATTGTCCTCATGGTCGACAGTGATGCCGTGTGGCATGAAAAATCTATAAAAGAATTAAATAATTGTTATAAAAAAAAATATTAGTACAACAGAGATATTACTGCGGCTATAAGTCCGTTACCTGTTTGCTCCCCATCGGTTAATCACCGTACCATTGTTCGGATCTAGAACTACTACCGTCGGACTGGAAATGGGTCCTTGGCCTTTATCACTATACACATTGTTGTCTAAGAATGTGGTTTGATCCCATTGACGATTGGCTCGGTGAAATATATGCACCAGTCCGTCTTTGCTCACAGAAACGCCAGATATGTGTCCGATACTGCCGTCGATTTTACGTGGATACGGCCAACTCAGAGCTTCATGTAAGTCTGTGAATCATATTATTTAACACAATGTATTGTAATTCAATATTAACTATTTAAGTACAAGTTAATTAAGCTAAGCTGTCAACTCGAGATGTACATTGACAATATAACAGCCACAGATATAAAGAACAATGGCAAACATTTTTCTGAAATTAAACTTAGCTAAGCGATATAGTATTGCGTCAATATTTGTACCGACATTGCTTTTCCTTCTGTCTAAAAATCATACTATTATTGCCAAACTAGGAACTTAAAACGGCAAAAAGAAAATTTTTTTAATATTATGCTTGAAAAATTTAAGAACCTCAAAAAAATCTTAGTACTCAAAAATAAACTAGAAATTGGTAATTAGGCAATATATTTTAATTGTAAATAATACTTACGAAATTCATTTGGTACATCGTGGTTGGGTTTGTTTGTACTGTATAGTGAATCGTTCTGAAAAGCCATTTATTTTGTTAAAATTATATCAATTAAAGAATCTTGTTTGATAATAACTATTTAACAAATATTGCACCTAATTCTCTGTATTTTATTATACATTAAATGCATATAAATTTAAAAACATAACAGAAAAATTAAAATAATGACATTAGTAACAAAGTTTACCATAATATGATCAAAATATACTAACTACCTATATCAATACAATAGGAATTTAATGGGATCAAAGTTACTGAAAAATTACTAAATAACACAATCAATGTTTTTTAAAAAAAAAATATGAAATATGGCAATAAGTAATAACGAATAAACGTCATAGAAAACATAAACATTATTAATAATTATTGTGAATAAACATATTGGTGTTGCGTAACAGCTGCTACGTTAAGAGGCAAACGGGTGTTGATTAGGTTAAAATAAAAAAAACCTACTTGAGCACACGTTGGGTGAGTACAAAATAATAGTAATGTATACGAATAATAACAATATTACTTGATCGAGTATTGGATCCGACAGGCCCGGTTGACAGTTGTTGAAAAAGTAGACAAATATCAAAACGGTTCTATACATTATATTGTATTTTGTTCAGCGTGTTTGCTCGCACATTTTTCGGACGATCGTCAGACGCCGGATCGGAGTGGTAAATTAAAATAAAAAAAATCACTATAGATCATACAATAATATTAATACTACTATAGATCGGTGACGTTAAATTTTTAACCGTGCGGGATCCATGGGAAACTGTAACTGATCAACAAGTCTGCGCGGTGCTCTTCGGCTGCTGTTATCAGAGATTATGGCGTTGTACAGGGTAGTGCGTGGGCGGCGGTTTATCTCGCTTGATCAATAAACAGTTGTCGGCGACGCCATCTGCTGGCGGTCGGCGGTAAATGTGTAAAATATTTATCCAGATGGCGTGCTATGATTATTATATTATTATTATTATACCTACCCAGCAAGCAGTTGTATGCTGCGGCCGTCCAATAGAAAGAGAACCGCGTTTTTGTTTTTCTACTCCTAAAACGAAACGCAGTAAATCCACTGGAAACGCCTTTGAAAATTGATTAGGTGTACAAATATGTAGTACCTATACCCATGGGCCATGATTGAAATAGGTGTGCAGTTTTTTTGCACTTATCAGGTATACGGTGGTATACCCCTTCGTCATCAAATATTCGATGATAAAAAGCAAATATATCAGCGAAACGGGAGCCAACATCAAGTATATTATATTATGTACCTTTCGACCAACATATTATTGTCCTATTGGGGAAAAACACAGATGGTAATGTTGTCATAGATCAACTTTTTTCGAAGCTAGAAAATCGTATTAATGCTTACCAAATTATTTCTGACTATTTTATGTTCATCTCAAACCCTGTGTTTGTCTGGTATGGTAACGATAAAAGTGATGATTCAAATAATGATAATATGTATCATGTAAGATATGTCAAACAAAGTATTCAAAATTGCATGTGTTTGTGTACAAACGATTTGTACCGTTCACTTGATAATGAATTGATATAACTTTGTGAGTACTGTATTGTAAACAAAGCTATAATCAATGGGAATAAAGTTAATATTCGTATAATTGATCTTTGGAAATAGTTCAATGAAAAATCATTGGCGGAGAGGTAGCAGGTTTTTTTAGTATTTATCATCAGTGATAGGTAAAATAACTTACAGATAAACGCTTCGATGCAAAACTCTAAATGGTAGAAATATTAAAAATCAATAAAAATATCACAACGGTAGTAATGTGCTTAAAATTGTACTAACATATTAAAATGCAATCTCAAGCTGTACCTGTAGACTGTTGATTTACTTACACATCCAAGCAGTCAGGTTGTAATTTTCAACACATTTATATAGTTAGAACCAGTTGGAAAACAGAATTCACAAATAACCAACGAGGAGAGATTACAATAATTATAATTTATAATATAACTTAAAATTTACAAGACGTAGGCGTGACTTATGTGTATAATCCGTAAATAATAAAGTGTTCTAATAAAATTGATTTGACTTCAACATCATTTTTAATGGTTAAATTTCAATCCTTGCTCAACATTAATTTTATGATACACTCTTAAGGATTAGGTATTATCAAAAGCAATGAGTTAACTTATGCGTGAGTCGAAGTTTATTAATTTGAAACTATTGATTAAATGTTTGTTAGCTTGTTGTATTGCCAGTGGAATTTGTTTGTTGTTGTCTAACACTGACTTACACCATTTATTCATACAGTGTATTTATTATTTATATAAAATGATACGCCTTAAGTATTAATATGATATTTACAGTAAAAAAAAAAAGAAAAAATCTTGGCGTCATTACTATCTTCTCAGTACAATAAATGGTTTTTGATTAATTAATTTTATGCTTTCCATTCGAAACCGTATTAGATAGCTCCGGTTTTTGATATTCAGCTGAAAATGTCCATACTAGTAAATTTTTAATTGACGAAAATTATTTAATCCTTAAAATAATTAGCCTTACCTTCTAAAAATGCAAACATTTTATTGAACATTCTTAGACACGGTGTTTCGAATAGTATAACTATTAGCATACTGACCCATAGGGATATCATGAAGTCACCTTGGACAGACCAGAACTAAAATATACTCATAAATTAAATTCACATCGATAATGTTTAGGCGGGTACACAGGGGGCGGAAACCACATTTTAACTTTTAAGTGGCTAAAAGTGTAATTTCTAAAAAAAAAAATATTGTTAGGCACTTATAGTGCGAACATTTATTTTGAAAAAATTAGAATTTTAGATTGCCTTGTTTATCTAAAGAACAATGTTGAAAGAAGTAAAAACATTTTAAAATGTATGTTTAATCAATCCATACGATTTAGGTTTAATTTATGTATTTAATTATTAAATGTGACTAGCTACAACTATAGGCCAATTTTTTTTTTGGAAAATAAATGCTCACACTTATGTTTAACTAAAACACATGATCAAAAAAATACTTTTAGACAAATTTGGCCTCTTTTAATGTGGTTTCTGTCACCACTGTGGGGTGTAGTGAAAATGATTTGTGTTCCATACCCAAGTCCACCAGCTTAACTCCACCGGTGATTTAACAGAACCCAGGGATAGCATTTGAAACATGTTGTGGGTCAAGTATATACTGTACGAGAATTTTGCAATTACGGAATAAAAATGGCTTCCGTATAATCTAGTGATGTAACCTGAAGAAATATAATATACAACTAATATTTTTAAAACACAGGTAAACACAAATATGTAGGTATATTATTACAACATTTTCAGATTATTTTGTCAGTCGGATAAAAAATAAGGATTACATTTTTTTATTATCATTTATTTTTTACCAAAACCGGATATTGCGTTGACGACGATTAAATACGATATGCACAGCGAAAACACAATCCTGTGCAATGTATAGAACAGTATGTGATGTCTTGGGTTGTATTCAAGTCCCGGTATATAAAAGTAACCGGTCAAAAGGTGACAGACGATTATCAGTATAACACAAGTGACAAAACCGAGTGTTCTGCTTTTCTATAAAATAAAAACAATCAAGCAAGACGATTTCAATACACACTTACGACGCTGTGCAATGCAAAATATATCGTATTGTACTCACAGCAGACAATTTGACTCTACTGTGTTTAAGTTTTGTGTACACGTATGCCGCTGCTATCCCAATCAGATAAGTTGTAATTCTCTGCTGACTCTTTGTGTAAATATTAACGAAATAAGGATTATTTCGAAGATCCATCGCAACACTATACACATATTATACATGTTTACAATTTTTTTTCTTCATTTATAGTCTCGAAAATAGCTAACTATTAAGAGATTTTTTTTTACATTTTAGCTTTGATCCGTAGCAGAGAAGGTATTGTTTTTACAATAATTATATGGTTTTACTTTATTTTTTTGTATCGGAGCCAGAGCGACATCTTTTTAACCATTGAATAAATTTCTTCATGTAACAATCTTACCTATAGATAAGGATTCGCACCTGAAAGGTACATTATTGGGCCAACAATTAAATAAACTTACCCATTCCCCTTTAAAATTGAAAAAAAAACACTTAAAAAATGTAAATATTTTCTAACTTAATAAAAAAAATGTCATAGCCCCTTTTCCATATAGGAGGACTGGAAACTTTTTCTTAATTTTAAGTTTTTAAGCTTAAGATCTTAAAATTCAACTGAAGATAAACATAAGCATTAAGATATGGATTTGCATCAAAGCGTTTATTTAAAAATGATTTTATTAGTTTCAGTTATAAAAATTATTCCTGTGTGGACCTTATATATTTTAGTTTATATATGTATTAATTGTTTTTGAAAATTGTTTTTTAAATTTTTTGTTATCAAGGACCTATGGCGAAAGAATGTTATAAAGAATCTATGATAAAATATTCAAACATTTTTTAACTTAATTCACACACACACATTAGGTGATTTCACAGGGGATGACCACCCTCCTATTACATAATATAAATCAACGCCATACATATAATTATTATTACCTTGCACTTATTGTGGATAGTCCCCTTAACTTCTTGTTGTAGATCGTCATTGCCGGTATGTACATAGATGCTGAAAATACAATGGCGAAAATCCAAAGGCCGACTTTTTCGCACTTCCACACAGCGTAAGATAAAAATAACCCAATTATGAAAAAATGCATATCGCACGCTAAAGACCAGGTTGGAATCATACACTGAAAAAGCCAAGTCCATTGTGAAATGAAAATATATAGTCCACACCAAAATTTAACATTATATTGGAAGACATACTAATTTGTGTAATGTACAATACACAAATATACATATAAGGCATACTAATATCATTATTATCTATCTAATTGTAATGAATAAAAAATAATTTAATAATTACGAGCTCCTGAGTGTTGACGTAGTTATTGATGAACAAAATGTTGGTCCACCAATTTCTTCGGCAATATTCTACTTCCGTCTGGATTATAGCATTCCAAAATGGACCATTACCCAAGTACGGGAAAATGGATACATGCAATAATAAAGCCATTATATATACTGGCCAAATTCTAAAAAAAAGAATTCAGAATTCAATAAGAAAAATATTTAACTCGTTGGTGTATTGTTGTGCAGATGGGCTGAACTCTACTTAAAGACAAATTTTGTTGCTAATTAGATCTTTTTTTCGTTAAGAATAAGCATGTCGTTTTTAGTGTGATTTTCTCGGTTTTAAAAAGAGTAACAATAATTATCGCGGCTCACCGAAAAAAAAAATATAACAAAATAAACAACTTACCTCGACATTCTGTAAAGTAGAATGAAGAAAAAATTCAATCGCTTGGTTTTGTTCAGTCGTTCGGTTACCGAAATATGCATAAAAAACCCAGAAATAATGAAAAACGTTTCCAAAAAAACTTGAGACTTTATTAGATTTCCCCAAAAATTTGTTAAGACCTATAATACAATACCAACGATATTAATGAGTCGACGAGACCAATAAAAATCTTAACTGTGAGCTGAACGCATTGAACTCAATACATTGAACGCGTATTGCATATAGTTATGAAAATGTCCACCAGTAGGAGGCTGCCATTTTGTGAACAGTTATTGTTTTATCCATGATATTTATTGTTTTTTTTTTATGATTTAACAAATACATAACCACGGACTATACGAAAATAGTCGGTGATGTGACCGTGTTGTCATCAATTAATCTGCTATTTTTAATGTGTATCGTGGAAAAGTAACGTAGCATTTTTACTTTCCATGAAATTGGTACACAAAATGGCTGCCTTTCGGGTCGGGGCATTTTTCAATTTGAATACGCGTTCCGTGTATTGAGTTCAGTGTGGCTGAATGAAATAATTAGACGTACGTTGTTAATGAACTCGGGATTTTCCGTCGGAATCACTAAATTTAAATAAAACCTATGGGCGAAAATGACGAAAGTGGCACTGAGGATTTTCAATGCATTAATTGCCGATAGGTGTTCGACTTTGGGCTGTTGAAACACACTCTTCATGCTCGACCTAATCGAAAACGAGTGCAATATTGTTCCTGAAACGAGCAACAATGAATAATAAATATGTACCGAGACAACGAATCTTAATAATTATTATCACTCACTTAAGACCGGGTGGTTTTTCGAGTTGACATAGCGATCAATTTGGATAACGTTCATTTCGTACAAAGTCCCGACAATATTTACAAGAATAACGAGCGTTACAATTGTGCTGGGGAAAACAAATCATTTTGTTATTAACAATAAATTAAAACTGCCAGTGAGGTACCGATGTGTGTTAGTTGGGATTAAATTTTTAAACGCCATTTACTAAAATGTCACGAGGTATCCATCGGTGCGTCGAGCGTGTGATGTTCTTTTGGATGTGTACAAAGCAGAGTTAACAGAAACACTGACGGATATGTTGTGACTCTGGAAGGCGGGTGTCAATAGTTCTTCAATTGACGATTGTACGTCTTGGGCATTACACGAGTCTGGAATACATAGTGCCCAATTTATGTTGTTGATTTGAGGAATTATGGGATTGTCTTGAACCTGGAAATAAAAAATAAAAAATAAATATATATATATATATATACATTAAAACTGAATTGAAGTCTGAATTCATTTTTAAAGTAACGATTTTTAAGTATACAGGCTGATGCATTACGGATAATACACTCATTTTCTCCTAAAATAATTGAAATTTTATGGTTTTTGTTATTTTACAACATTATAAAATTACTAAATATTTACTGTTTTAGTATTTTCCAAAACTCTGTCAACTTTTGAAACTTAAATGGGAACGTATATATGTAATTAACTGTAGAATAATTTGCTGAACATTTTTGACTGGTGAAAACCATTTTTGGATAATTACTTTAAATTTATTAAAGTTTAGAACAGGAGGAAAGGTGGAGTGTAGACTGTAGAGTTATTTTTATGTGCACGCATTACCCTACCGCAATCCACCTCCCGTCCTTAATTAACTTAATTAACTTTAAAAATCCAAAATTGGCTGTCAATCGGTCAAAATTCTCAGCAAATTATTCTTAATAAAATGGCTTTAAATCTTAAATTAAAAAAAAATGTAACAAAAATAATAAAAAATTAAAAAAAGTAAAACAGTTAAGAGCAATAAAACCCGCGAGTTTATAGCGCAAATGAGTAAAATTAATTTTAAAAAAAAATCTTAAAAATACCTATTCACTAAAAAAAGTTACCTATTTTATTTGTCCTATCTTTGCGAAACACCTTGTAGATAAGTACATAAGATTTCATACCCATGCGGTATAATTAAATTTGTACATCACAAAAACACATTTATTTCTCACTATAGTCATATTTTTTAAATTATTTGCTTAAAATTAAGAATTTATTGTTTATTTTTATATTTTAAATAATTCATTAAAAATTAAAAACCCAAGAAAGTCTTCATGCCTAACCCGACTTGGGAAGCGTTTATTATTAATGATACTTTGTTATGTAAGAAAACTACCTATTATCCATGTACGTATTAAACTAAAGGGATTATTATTATTATTTAATAATTATAAATTGTTTTTTTAATGTTGTCCGTATCAACGCTATACATAATAATACAACGCCTATCTGATAAAAAAAAATAGTGAACTCTTAGTGGCACAATTTATTTCAATTAATCATATTACAAGGCTAATACCATATTGTTATGATTACTACATGTTTGATACAAGTTGGATTTGTCGGTGGTACATGGAACTTTAAAACTGTATTAATATTTAAGATGGAATTTGTTTATTTCTACTATTTTATAATTAATGCAGGAAGTAGGAATTACTTTCAATTGTTCCCAAGCAGATCCTTCGTTACTTAATGGTTTGGCTGGATCTCCAGGAAGTCTAAACCGAATATTAGCCAACACATAGGCGCTGTATAAATTCAAGTTTTTTGATTGTGCTCGCAGACACTGGTCAAAATGTCCCATTTCGTATGTAATACCGGATAAAAGGCCACCGGGATATTTTCCTGAAGAATCGTACACTAAAAACAACATTTCAAAATAAAAATAATTATTATGATACTTTGTTTTGTATAATCACAACGTTATGATTATTGTGATAGTGATATTGTTCATTATTGTCCATTTATCGCCAAATATTAGCAATTCATAAGTATTTTTTTATTTAACAATTACATGCCGTCTCATATTTAAAAAAAAATAATCATCCATTTTGGTAAATGTTTCTATATAGTTAGGTAATAAAATAATAATTCTCAAAATCCTTATTATTATATGTTTATTAAAGTATAATACAATAGAAATTAATTGTAATTTGACATTATATGCATTAATTATAAAAAAATGAAAAAATTTTGTATTTATCATATTTTAATTTAAATTAATTATAATTTGATATTGTGGATAACTATTTACATTAGTTCTAAAATATTAAAAATTCCGTTGGTTTTATCTGTATCAATTAAAAATATTAAGCTTATTTTTGACTTTTTTTTACCTAAGTTGGGATGGTTAGTTAAAATGTAAATAATTTTCTTGTCAACTGAGAACAAAATTTAACTTGTTACTAAGTCCTTAATTGTTAAGTGCCTCTAAACTAGGATCTATAAAGGCAATTTCTTGATAAAACTACATCGTATTATACAATTTTGTCAATTTCCATTTTAGCAGTTTTTTTTATAACAACGAAACATCCAATTTAATCATGTTTTGCATAATTAGGTATTAAAAAAAATGCTCAAGCCTAAACAATTTTAATAATTATATGTGTATAAGTAAAATACTTTCAAAACGTTGGGGATTATTAAAATAATTCAAATAATTGCATAGTGATTGTTAAATAAAATTGTTTGTTTTATACATTTTAAAGAAATAAAACAATAATTTAAAGATTGTTAGGCCCCATATAAATAATACAGAATTTTATATTATAAAGCATAAGTAAAGTTTTTTTTAATGGATGCAATATTATATTTCACTTGTTACACACTTTGAACTGCCCACAATTCCTGTTTGATTAAATTTTCCTTATACAACTTCCCATCTTCAGTACAATTTGGATTCTCCTTAGAAAACGGTGTGAATTCGCCCATCAACGTAGCAAACATATTACCTATCCACAGTGTATTGTTATAATTATTGTTTTTGATATTACAATATTTTGGTTCCAATTCACATCGTCGGTTTCCATCAATTAGTTTGGACGGCGGTAAGTATGTTTTTGAACTTTCCGAATTTGAAATTGACGATTGAAAGCTATATTGTATTTTTTGGCAGCTCACGGCACATATAAAAATCAAATAGACCTTCATTTTCTACCATGAAAAAAAAATTAACATTAGATTAGATTTACATATATAATTAATACACTATCTAATTACGACTACGCATGTTCTCATCTGACATGTTTCAGTTTGTGTTGTGTTTTAAACTAATTTATAATTTTTAATATGTATTTTTGTTTACCATCAATTTTGTATAATTTGAAACCGAGTGCAAAATGTTCAAGCTACATTTGAACCCAAATAATACCTAACTCCATAAACTAAGAGTCAGACCTATATTGAGACAACTGGAATACAATTGTTTCTATACAATAACCGATTAATCTAATCGGTCAATAAGACAATTTTCCGATATGCCATTATAGTAAATGATTATTTGCGATAGAAAAGTAAATGAGGTTTAATGTTATCATTTACTGCTTTTTAATAGTCTGTGTATAAATATAGCATCCATCCGGGCACTTAGTTCCAATGTCCATACCACTCAGATAAATTAATGGTTAATTAATTGAAACTGAGTAAAGCCACGTTGTAAAAGTCATAATAATTATAATATATAAAAATATAGATATTCTTTTGAATTAAAAAAAAAATCAACCTTTATTGTTTACCTGTACAGTTTCGCATCGAAGCTAAAATAACATAACCGATCAAATATAGTTGGGTTTATCGCTAATAAACATGACGAGAAGATTATGGAGAAACCAAGCACAAGTCTCAACACAGATGAATATGTATACTGCACAAATATGTCTGCTACATAAAACTATTTCAACTAGGTTTCATTTTTATAAATATTAACTAACAAATTACAGAACATCTGCTTATTGTTAAAAAAAAAAAAATTGAATGGTAATTACCTACTAACACTATACTTCACGGAAAGCACTTAACCTGGAGTTCACTAAACGCTTAGAGTTTAAAATATGATATTGTAAACATTATAATGTTATTAAAATTATTATTTAAACAGTATAATATGCTATATCCGAGTGATTAGTTAACTATGATCCAATCAATATCCCAGAAGATATAAAGATTCTTTTTAATTGTTCTTTTTTACACTTTTATAGTTAATAGTTCACCCAATTTGAATATATTATTTTCTAAAAAGATTAAAATTAACTAACTATAATAGTCGGTTACTACCGCACCCCCCCTTCCTCCCTTACTAAATTTTAAACTTAAATAACTTTAAGAGTAATTATCTAAAACTGGTTATCCAAAGTTAATCAATTATGTAAATTACCATTTGAAAAGCTTAAGTTCATAAGGTTTAAAACACATAAGGGTTGATTGGTTATACTTTTGGAAAATGTATTAAAATAAATAAAAGTGTAAACAAATTATTGAATAATACCTAATATTTTCTAAGATATTGACTAGGTCATAGTGAACCAATTACTCAGTACATAATAATAATTTCTACACCGTATGGATTCAAAAATTACTCAAGACGATTCAAACTTTAAGGTAATTTATAATTAACATATCACGGTTTTCGCTTTTTTATTGAATAGAAATTAAAAGAAATAAGATGATCAAATAAAATATGAAACAAAAATATATATATATTTTACAGTTAATAAATTACTTCATTTATTTTATATTTGGTATGAGATACTTTCTAGATATAAAGAGATAAATAGCCCTACTCACCTACTGTCACATACAGATACAAAATATCATTAGTTTTTTTTCATCAGAAGAGTGTTTTCATTTCCCTAACCTAACCTATTCTAACCGGACTGATTACACTAAGCACCTCAAAACCATATATTGTATTATTAATTCGAAAAATTTGGTCAACTATTAACTAATAAGTTAAGATATAATGTTTACATTTCTACCTTTGTCGCTATGGAACTAGTTACCGGCAAGGAAACGGAGCTGTTGAACAAGCATACACAAAAGAACTTGAAAAATGCGTTAATCAACAAGTAATTTTTACAGACTTTAATTCAAGTTAATTAGGTCTCAGTACAAAGATGGTAATATATCTACTGACTATGCACCAGTGCTTATCTGGTATGGTTTATTACTATACGTACGTCTGGTATCCCTACCTACTGTCTCCCACGTTGTTATCTTAGATTTTTATTTTGGGTAAGACCTTTTTTCCCTACATAATCGATTGGCTTGCTAACACAATACAATATACAGGTCGATTCATTAAAGATCATTCACTCGTTCTCTCTTAAAATAATCTCAGTTTTGTAGTCTTTCTTTTTATAGAAACTTTAGAGAGTTTATGTTATATTGCAATATTCAAATAATTTGTATCTTTTTAATTTTTTTTCCGGAGCTCTAATCACCATTTAAACTGGTCGACAACCAGATTTACTGATTTACATAGGTAGTTACTTTTAAATTTACTTAAGTTTAAATATTTACGACGGGAAGTGATAGAGCCCTGGAAAATACTATAAAGGTAATAACTTTATAAAACTGTAAAAAAATATAAACAAAAATGTTTTTTTAAAAAAATTGAATAACTACAAAATTGCAATTATTTCGAGAAAAAAAATTGGTTTTTAACCTTAACGAATCACCCTGTATGTAACCTGTCGTGAATTGGGCGACAACGACCGATTTAGCATGATGATCATGGACTTAACGGTAACAAGTATTGTATAGACAAAAACATAATTTACAGAGTTATCAACATTTCACGTTAAACCACATAATTTGATGATATAAATTAACCTCGAACATGTTACTATAACATACCTTTAAATATTTGAAAATCTGCGCCAACAACTATATTGACCTGCAAATAAGTATTCTGTTGTTCATAGCTTTGTAATAAATAGTCAAAAACTGAGGAAATTTGATACACTTTTTCCCTCGTAATTGGAGAAAACTATTTTCATTTTTCCTAATTTAACATTACCCGACCGGATTTCTTGCACTAAACAATTCTAAACCGTCTTTCATATTATTTATTTAAAAAAATTGAGTCAACTATTGTTAACTTACACTTCTACCTTATTCGGTATAGAATTAGACATAAGTTACCAGCAAGGAAGCTGAGCTGTTGAACGAGCATACACACACGAACTTGAAAAAATGAGTTAATCTAACGAGTAAAAGTTACTGTCTTTATTTCAACTTAATTAGGTCTTAGTTCAAAAGTGGTAAAATATCTACTGGCTAGTACCAGCGTTTTTATTTTTATTTTTAAGCGTACGTCCGATATCCCTACCTACTGTCTTGCCTACACTTAGGAAATTTTTGAACAGAAAAAGTGGTGATTAAAAATTTAATTCTAAGTATTAAAATTTATATTTAATTTAAATCAAATTAATTAATAGTAACTTTCTTTGTAATCGCGTTATTTGATAATACGATTATACATGACAGCCGCAGTACTGTACAACGTGTACAGTAGTATAAAACCATTATCAATAAATTATTTTTCAGAAAACCTTTTTTAAATCATTGTTTGCTTGTGGTAATATTTCAATAAACAGTTTAAAAGATATGTAACTACCTTGTAGGTGTAAACATTTTTTTCTCCACTTCAACCAGGTTTTCAAGACTATATTCTACTTCTGGTCATAACGTTTACCATTACAGAGAGACTAATTTTTATTTTATTTTAGATTTATTTGTTAACTAGATTAGATTGCATTGAACAGAAATAAGAAGAGAACGTTAAACAAGAAAACAATTGTTAACTGACTTAAAATAGAAAAATGAGTTACAGTAATAATAATAAAAAAAAAAGTGTGTAAGAACAGAAACAAATGTTTGTCAGGTCAAAGAAGAAATATTTGAATAACGGTTGTAATAGAAAAATAGAGATGAAATAGTTGGGGAAAAAAATATTATAATCATAACTGAGCAAAGACGGTTTAAGAAGATTTGTATAAAATACAGAAAAGAAAAACTTAACATTATGATTTACATATGAAATGTATTAGTTTATTTCCAAAAATGTAATATTTTGTTTTTAACTGTTTACTTTGGCTTTTTTTTTAATAGAAATATTTTTACTTATGTAAGTAGTCAGAAAATATAATATTATATTATTCTAACTTTCATTATGAATTCGTTTGAATTATGTTCATAATCACAAAAAAATTGAAACTGTTATGTATACACATATAATTACTCGCAAGGTTAATTTTCTATTGAGTTATCAATAATAAAACATTTGAAAATACATAATTAAAATTTGTAGACTACGTTATTCTTATTTTATAATTATTGCATATACCTTATGTCAAATTACAATTCATTTCTATTGTATTATAATTTAATGAACACATAACAGTATAAATTTGAAAGGCTTGAGAATTATTATTTTATTATTTAATTGTATACAATTTTTTTTTTATCCGGATTCGACTTCCTGGCGATCCAACCAAACCACTAAGTAACAAAGGAACTGCTTGGGAACAATTTAGAGTAATTTCAAAAAAGTTATAAGACCGTAGAAATTTAAAAACTCCGTCTTAAATATTAATAAAATTTAAAAGTTCTCTAAAAACACTGAAAAAAAAAATTGTTTTCATGCGAAACGTGACGCAATAGTTATTATGTAAAAAAATTTTTTTTCGTATCAACTATTTTTTCGCTTTTAAGCTAAATTTAAGTAGATACGCTATTTTTTTTTCAACTACCAAATATCAGAGATGGGCATATTTATATTTATGAATACAAGTACGAATATACTGACACAGAATATTGTTTATGAATAAGAGTAGGTATCAGTATAAGTAAAAGTATCTGAAAGCTCACTAAATCCAAACTATGGTATTTTACTCCTACCCAACTATAATAATTAAAGGTTGTACTATTAATAATAAAACTTATTTTTAATTTCTATTTTATTCTTTAGACCTACATCTCTGTAAAGTGTTCATTAGGTACATATTAACATAAATGGCATAGCCCGAGCCCACAGGTTATTGTATAAACAATTTTAAAATGTAGCAAATTATAACACATTTTGTAGCATGGTTGTCCGAATAAAAAACTTATTTAAAGCACCTCATTGTTTCTTTAAAAATGCTTACTGTTTTTTGGTTTTGTGCATTTTTGAGCATTTGAATCAAAAGTTCAAAAACTCAATGTGTATCACCGAGACCCAAGTCACGTAATTACAATTGTCTTATTTTTTTACACAAAATTGTTATGTATTTTTCTAATGGATTTAACGGCGGGCTAATAGATTTAATATGTACGGGGTAAATATTTTATTTAATCTTGACATGTAAAATATGCAATTATTTATTTTAAAATCAAGGTTTGGACTTATTGCACACAAAAATATATCCTTATAATACCTATTATGTTAAAACTTACCGCTGTTTTTGTTTGTTTTAAGTCCGCCAACTGTCGTCAATTGTCTGGCAAGTATTCGAAGAAATAACAAAATAATAATCGCGTTCACAGGAAAACAAAATGAAAAAGTATAAGATTATAATATTTATAAACAGCAGTCTGACCTTCGATGATGTTATTCATGTCTATAGTTTAAACATTGGCACATCCACTAGATACTTTTAATGTATCTATAGTCTATACCATTATATATTATACACTATATACTATAGCATTATTATAATATATATTATTACATAATAGCGTTATTTTTATTTTTTGTATTGTTTAATTTTCGTTTGGGGCTCAAAAGAGGGGAATGCATTCGTATTCTTGTTCATGAATATAAATATGCCTATTTCTGCCAAATGTAGGTATAAACAAAAAACATCGTGTTAAAAAAAAATAACTGTTCAATCGGGTGTTTTTAAAAAAAAAATTCAATCGCATAGGCATACAACCTATGTTAATCGCAACATGATTATTGTACCGTAAACATATTATTGTTTGTGCACTACTGCAAAATACGTTATTAAAGTAACCGTACGATAACATGACCATAACAAATAACAGCTATTAGACGTTAAAAATAACAGTTCCCACATAAAAGATTGTTACACTGCAGGAATCTAAATACTTTGTATGCAACGCACATAAAACGAGTACACGTGATATCGAGTAAATATTGCTTACATTATGTCGACCATCATTATAATAATATGGAAAATCCATCACCTCTATTATAATAATATTATTATGTTATTCTTGTCGTTTATTATATGTGTATTCGATAAAAATGTTTCTAGATATTAAAAAAAAAAAAAAAAACATCAACATAATATACTTCGACCGAATGGCAATACAATATTATGTCGCATGGCTGCAAAATAAGGTTAACATTATGTTTGTTGTTTACAGCTTGTTTTTGTCGTCACTTTCCATAACCTATTTTAAAGGGTTTTTTTTATGGGATACAATGGTTAAAGTGTTAAAAAGCAGAAAAATAATGGTCATTAACCTGTTTTCGGTCGTACCTAAGAATGACATAGCCATATGGCAAATCGGTTGTGGAGTGCCTAATTTTTAGGAACAATCGAAACTGTACCAAACTACCGAATTGTTTACACCGTTTTATCAAAAAGACACGGCTTAGAATACAACAGCTAAACAACATCAAGTCAACAATAGTTTTGGAAACGATTATGTGTGCACACGGTTTTGGTTTTTAACTAGGATATTAATTATTTTACATAACTGTGCCATACTAATATTTTTTGTGTGAACTCTTAGTGCGGTCATGCTCACCACTAAAATTTTTTTTTCAATTACGTGAGTGATCTTAATTACATATTACTCACGACACCTCGCAAGTTTTACCGAACCGATTTCCAAAATTTTAATCAGGCCCCGAAAATCTTAACTGTATACTAGAATATAATTGTCTAGGTTGTTATATAATGGTTGTTATATAATAGTTATTTTGTACTTCTTAATAAATATTTATTTCCTCCAAAAAATTAATTCATATAATATATTTGTATTTAAATTTAAAATGATTAAATTGGCATCTATTATAAACTATAATATATGATTACATTCTAAGATATGCCTAGCCAAATTGGGTTATATATATATATATTGAAATCGTTATAATTAGTACATGTAACTAATA